CCGCTTCCTCTTGACTGCTTTTTTTTTTCTTTCGAGGGTAATTTTTCCGGTTGACTGCAATTTTTGCGTCAGCCATATTTTTTCGAAACTCGGCTCAGTTTTTAGACTTAAAACTACATCTATTTTAATCGTGGACCATTACTATTTTTTTGAAGTAAAATTTATTTAATCGACCTCATTTTTTTATTTCTCACTGTTTATTTCTCCTAAGTCACTTCTTTTTGTTAGGGGGATTTTTGTCCGCAACGAAACGCCATAAGTTTGTAAGTCTTAGATTAAAAATTTCTTGCCCTCCACCCGTGAGGTGAGAAATTGACCACGTTCCCAGTCTCGACCGAGCGGTGACGACAGCAAACTGATCAACTTAGCCGCGTCAAGCATAAATTACCGCTATTTTGGCCGTCATATTTCAAGTTTTTGCCCAGCTAACACGGTGAAAACTGAATGTGTACTTCATTGGACAGCAGAGAGAGAAACTGCAGGCCTTACATCGTGAGTTCAGGGAGAAATATTGTGAGTAAATGCTATTTTTGTGTGCAAATTTGACTCGTTTTCGAAGAGTGTTTTGTCGTCAAACTGGCCAAAGTTTCCTACCTTGTCTCCTATTTTAACACCGTAGGATAAACATATCAAAATTCGCTCAAATCTCGTTTTAACTCTCCAGGATGAGAAAAAATGACATCATTGAATGTTCAAGAGTCTTTATTTGGTAAATTATCCATACATTGAACGAATTTAATGTCAACTCCTGATCTCCATAGAAACTCTTATATTTTAGCGACATTTCTCCATACAAACTCTCATACTTGGGTGATCTGTGGTACAAGTATCTAATTTACATTGTGCAGCGCGTGCACTTTCAAGTCAAAGACTTTTTCCCAGTTTTTTTTTCTTTTTTTGCTGAGATGCTTCAACAATTTTCCCCAACGCTAATAGGCTATTGACATCATGTGTGGTTCTTCAACAAATTGAAATTTCAGATTACGAAATGAAATCGGCAAGGAGTTTTGAGAACTCAAACAACAAAATCGAATTTGTTATTGGGGTTGATTAAAGAAAGTGCTACCGTAACTTTGCTGATTATGTTTGCTGTCTTCACATATTAGGGACTTTAAGAAAACCACGACGGCAACGGGAACGTCGCTAAACAAAAGGTTTAATGAGCAAAACAATGGTTCTGCACGTGCGTTATAATTCTTGCTACATTTCTTTGCCGTCCTTTGCAAAACAACAACGTGAAATGACCAAATTCTGCGTTGTCCTGAGACCGTGAACCACGACGGCTATTTTTTTAAATGTTTTTTAAATATTTCGCCCTGTCCCAGATTCAATTCCGTGATAATTTTGACACGAAGAAACAAAGGAAAATGACTTTAGAGTATCGCGAGATTCGCAGGTAAAAATATAAACTCATTTTTTTATAATGGACGTTGTCCTCGGCGCCGCATCCTGGTTTCTTATACTCCCTATTTCTAGCTAAACTTCAATATGTTCTCAAACATTTATCAGTCTTAAACCTGGTATTTAAAAGCTAGAGATATTGTTTGAGTCCGATGTACGTTTTTATGCGAAAGAGAGGAAGTCCAACTTGTCATGTTTACCTGCAAAACACGCATCGGCGGACTCTCTTTTTCATCGACAAGCGGCCATTTATTAAATATTTGTACAAACAAAACTGCAGAGCTGTACTTGTATTGTATTCTCAGCCAAACAGATTTGTCAGAACGAGAATCGTGCACAGCTGGTGGGGTCGTTATTCTAGCCCAAGTTAGCCTCCAGTAGGTGGCTTCCCTCTTTCAGTTCTGCTTTTTTAATCATATGACCAAATGACTGTGCACCTACTGGCTTCAAATCTTGGTACATGGCACTCAGTTTGTCTCGTGCGCTTCAACGTAGTGCACTGAAGTTCACTCTAGTTCTCAAGCAACCTAGTTTTAGCCGGGAAAAAGTGTTTTCACTGCCTGACTGACGGGACAGTGTTTTAAAAGTGAAGTAGCGAATTTTTGTACTCACCATTCTGTTATTTAATTCTTTCCTCGAGTCTCACATAACAATTCTTCTGCAGCAAGAAGACGCCACTGGTCCGCCATGTTGGAGCACTGCACGCGTCACGAACGGCTAGTCCTTTTTTTCGGGCGGTTTTTTTCACATCTTACTTCTGTTCACAAAAGTTGGCGGAGAGATACGCCGAAAGCTAGTCAGAGGTTTTCTCCTTTGCCACATAATTATTCTCGGTGACTGATCGGTTCCTCCGAGAATTTGCTTATTTTCCCGGCCGTCGAAACTACCTAATTTTTCGTTGCCAGAGCTTGCGCTTTCGGACCGCTTATTTAAAATTCAAAATGGCCGGCACAAATTAAAACACAAGACACAAACAATAAAGTTCAGTTTATCATTTATTCAAATTCTTAACGTAAGTGTCGGAAGTGGCATAACGCGCGAATGGCGCGCGCTCAGAGACATTTTGAATTTGTAAGTTACACGAACGATAATCGCGTGTAAGAGTGACAGTTTTTAGGACACGTTGATAGAGAGTTTTTTTTTCTTGTTAATTTATTGTTTAGCAACTCTAATGTAAGAGTGAGCAATCATCAAGTACATGCATGTACTCAGTGGCTGACGGGCTCGGCCCATGATCGTGGTAAAATCTTCTTTTTCCGTCCGCTTAGTCGGCCTTCTAGCACGAGAACAATTTCTTTGGTGAAACGAAGGTGACTGTGCTCACGCCATAAGTACGTATCACTGGATTATGATGCCGGCTTACGAGTACTGAGTTTTTTTAGGGCGGCTTTAACGTACTTTAAAGATTCGCATGTGTAATACAGCTTCACTCTCGGCAGTCTGTATTTCTTCCAGTCTCTAACGCTCCGACTGGCACTCGCGGTTCGAGTTTAGGCTTACTGAGGACTCTCTGAGAACCTCTTCTCTTCATTTTGAGAAAACGGAATGGTTGCGAACAATTGCATTTTTTTTATTTTGAACGAGGCATCGATCATGTGAGGACGCAACTGGGGGGCTGTCTGAAAGGAGGTTGGCTACTGTATAAGTATTCTGCGGAAGTCTGAGTTCTGGACCGCGCGAAGAGTAATTGTTGCCATGGTGCGTTGTTATGGTTTCAAGTTCGCCCACGTAGCAAAACAAAGATAATGGCCGCTCGGTTTTCGGAAAATTGAGCAAAACGTATTATCTTCTGTTTCTTTTCTTGTCGAATTTTATGGATATTGTAATCTCGTTAGCAGCCAGTACTTCTGCGTTTGTCGCGATTTTTTTTTTGTTATAAGTTCTTTTATTTTTCTTTTAAAAGATATAAGTAGTTCTTTTTAATCTATAAGAAGGATTATCAAAACAACGCGGGAAAACAAAACACAACAACAACAAATAGTAGAATATATAATTTAACTACTCCAGAACTTTCAAAAATCACTTCAGAGACTAATGAAACAGATGCACACAATCCCTCAGTGTCGCAGGCATGTGTTAGGCAGACTTTGGTGAAAGTTTTTGTCTTGTTCAAAATTATTTGTTCGATGCACAAATTCCTCTGACCAAGACCAGAAAATACAACTGCCATATAAACGTATGCTGACTTACCTTGCGCTTTCGCGGTTCGCGTGGATTTTTTAGCTTGATACATTTTTCCAGCATTCGAATTTCTCTCCAAGGATAAGATTTGTCTCTCTCTGTCTGAAATGGCCGTCTGAAAGATTTCTTTTATGACGTAGGTAAATATTGCCTGATTACCTGCGCGTGCCGGTAAAGCCCAGTCTCCCGCGCGGTTTTACACCTGAATATTTCGCCGCGGTAAATCCTTTGAGACCACCTGCTCCGAGAGAGAGAGAGAAAAAAATACGAAAGCGAGTCAACTGACTTTTGACTGAGTCGATTTCGTATTGCGATAAATTTCAGTATGTTCAGAACACACCTGCACGGGTTGAATCTAAGATTACCCCTGTTTTGATTGGCCTTCATTGGCTTCCATGCGATGCAGTCAATTATCGCAATATTTTTAAGGTTTTATTAATAATTTATAAGTCGCTTAAGGTGAATCCCCTAGCTACTTGATCGATAGTCTTCATTATCGCTTTGGATCTTCGATATCTGTCAATGAACTGTTAGATCAGCTGAGGTCTTTCTCAAAAACCTCTGGTGACAGCATAAAAAACGGGTCATTTTGCAATTTATGTGCGCTGGCTCTTGGGCTGGCCTTACATATCTTCGCTACACAGTGCTGACGAGTCCCAAGAAGGACGAAACAGCTATCCACTGTTGCGATCCTGCTTTATCGGTTCTGCGTTATATATATCCATATATTTTTGGCTGATCAGATCTCTTGTAGATCCTACGTTGGTAGCGTTTATCGTATGCGTTCCCTTGCAGTTTCTGGCTCAACTAAGAGACCGTTGTATGGATGTTGAACCATGTTTCAAGGTCTATAACTTGGTCTCTGTTTACTCTAAAAGCTTCAAACTTGGTCAAATGACTACTCTCAACGTGATCTTTCATGTGGTGGTGTCAGCTATATGCTAACTAACCTTTGGCTCCAAGCATTGGCGTGATGCATGTTTTGATAATATCGATCAATCATGAGAGCAAGCTCTTCCTTAGCTCACCGAAGAGAGAAAAGATCTGACAGATTACTTTTATGACGTGGGTTAATATTGTCTAATCGGTCTAATCATCTCCACGAGCGCCCAGTCTCCTGCGCGGCCGTAATTAGGCCTGTCCGGATTGTGCTCGTAAATCGCTGGAAAGTTGCTCCCTGGAATGCAAAAAAGTTGCTAAAAATTTGCCAAAAATCCAAAAAGTTGCTATTTAAATTTTATGATATTTTTATATAAAAGTTAATTGAAAGCTTTGTTTTTCGTTCTTCAAAATAATTGCTAACATCGATCAAGGAAAATAGCTTGAATCTTAGCTTAAATATGGGCGAAATTTAAGGATACTCAAAAGTCTAACAGAATAAAACAATAGGCATGAGAAACGTTGTCAAGGCTATGACGGGCTGTGTGTTCAATCTTCGAAAGGTAGATAAATATTCAAGAAATCGGCATAAATTGAAGTTTTCTATGAAATCGTTGACTTTTTCGTGCTTGATATGTGCTCTAAACCTATATTTTGCTCAAAAGTTGTTCAGAAAGGCAAAACTTTCTCGAAGTTGCTAGAAACGCAAAAAGTTGCTGCAAACGCCTAAAGTTGCTCAAAAGTTGCCGAGGCAATCTGGACAGGCTTAGCCGTAATTGGATTATCATAGAACGGTATACTTTTCTTTTACTCATCTACAAACCTACCTCGCAGGCTATCTACCTGCCTGCGTGACTCACTGTCAACCAGCCAGCCAGCCAGCCAGCCAGCCAGCCAGCCAGCCATGCATGCAGGCCAGCCAGCCAGCCAGTTATCCAGCCAGCAACTCACCAGCCAGCAAGCTAGCCAGCCTGTACAGTCAGTCTGCCTGTGTTTCCCGCTTACTTGTTTGTTTTCTTACCCACCTCCCAGTTTGCTTTCTTGCTAACCTACTGATTTTAAAAATATTTTCTTGCTTCCTTACTTATCCTAGATATTTCATTATCAGTATAGGCCATATGGTATGTGCAACACCAACTGAGTGCATTTATCTATTCTTTCCCCACGACAAAAAATCAACTAAATAGTATAGTTCTGGAGTGATTTTGGTCTAAACCTGCTCCATGCGTTTAATAAGGTCTGTTTTATGCACTCCGGTCAGGAATTAGGAAGACTCTTTTTGAAGAAACACGAGAAAAAATGTCAAAGGAGCGCCCCACATCCGCCCCATGCCCCACCTAGCCAACCTCCGCGGGCTCCGGTCTCTCCGGTCTCTCCGAGCTTGGTTACAAAGTTTCTCGTAATGGCGGCGGAATGATTTGAAAGTTTACTGTGTTTTCTTTTTGGAGACATGACCCTCTAGTTTTTAGTGCTATTGGAAATGAAAATGTGGTTTCAGACGTTAAAAGCAAGACACTCTGTGCGTGCTTTTACAACGGAAAACAGCCAAGGGCTTGTGGCTGGCCTTGAATACACGGACAGGAAAACAGAAATTCACGCTCTGAAGGTGAGAAACCCTGGGAGCAATAACCAATTGTGATTATATATCACCTAAAGAAATTGTTTCATATACATGCTGCTTTAGTGGACAAGCTAAAACAGTTCATTCTCAGTTAGAAAAGGATCAAGACATAGTAACAAAGCGATTGCAAAGATGGCATTTATGTCGAAGAAACAGCTTGGACTGCTACCATGATACCGTACTTCTGACTTATTTCAATGCCGCATTGTTAATTTAAGCTTAATAATTTCGGTTTCACATTGGGAAAGCAACAAAGTGAAAAAATGCTGCCATTAGTCCCCGCGTGTGGGTGACCCGAAAACACTGACCCCCGGTCCGCGGACCCCCACAACGGACCAGGTCCGCAGACTACCCTACGGACCGGTCCATGGACTACTCCTACAGACCCCCTCTATGTACCACCCTAAAATAGTGTAAAAATGATAAATAAAGATTTCACTTATGGGTTGTCTAATAGATTCAGACTCATGTCGGTGCTTTTTCGAGTGTTACACCGTGCAAATGTAACAGACTTGGGTTTTTAACACCCCGCCCCCGTCCCTGCCTCTCAGAAAAAAAAAATGCCTGAAAGCTGTTTTCAGCATAAGGAGATGCCAATGGTAAGGAGGAAAGTTCTTACCTTCCATTCGTGGCTCAATCTGGCTTTGGAAGATATATTTTTAGGCTGTTAATTGTTGTTGTAACTGTTATTCCGCTGAGCAAATTGTGAAGCCTGGAACGAGTTCATAAACCCACGGGAGAATGGGCTGAACAAAATGGCAGAGGGGAAAGAACACAAATTTCGAGGCTTTCCGAAGGCTTCCCTGTATGCGTCTTTCGTATACTTCCTTGCCACAGCAAAGGAAATGGCAATGTGTAATGATTTAAATTGCACCCGAGCCTGAATCTGGGTCTGTTACGTTTGCACAATGTAACGTTCGAAATTTCGCTGTCACGAGTAATCTATTAGACAACCCGTAACTGAAATATTTATTTGTTATTTTTATTATATTTTGGGGGGTGGTCCGTAGAGTGGGTCCGTAGGGGGAGTCCGTGGACCGGTCCATAGGTAGTCCGCGGACGCGGTCCGTAGTGGGGGTCCGTGGACCAGGCGTCAGTGTTTTCAGGTTACCCCCCGCATGTGAATGCTACTTAACAATTAGACCCGTAGTCTGCAAGGGCCACAGGCCAATAGCCCATGAGNTGCCACAGCAAAGGAAATGGCAATGTGTAATGATTTAAATTGCACCCGAGCCTGAATCTGGGTCTGTTACATTTGCACAATGTAACGTTCGAAATTTCGCTGTCACGAGTAATCTATTAGACAACCTGTAACTGAAATATTTATTTGTTATTTTTATTATATTTTGGGGGGTGGTCCATAGAGTGGGTCCGTAGTGGGGGTCCGTGGACCAGGCGTCAGTGTTTTCAGGTTACCCCCCGCATGTGAATGCTACTTAACAATTAGACCCGTAGTCTGCAAGGGCCACAGGCCAATAGCCCATGAGGCAATGCCAAATGGGCTATTGACCCGTGACCATTGAGGGCAAAGGGTCTAGTTGTTTTAGTATCACCTAACTAGTCGGACAGAAAAGGCAATAATAAAGTTAGCTGATGCAAGTTGAAGAAATATTTACTTGAGAATAAAAGGAAAGAAAGCTTCACGCTTGAGTGCACAAATTTTGCTACTCATGGACTATTACTAATAGCCTTCTAGTAGTGTAGCCAATTAAAATGCAGGATTTGCATTAGTCCACTAGTTGGGTGATACTAAAAGGGACTAGTCCTTTGCAACTAGTCCCCTAGTAGAAACTAGATCAAGGGACTTGATGTGGGGACTAATCAAAGTTACATGTTCACTAGTGCATGCCAACGTTAAAATTGATGTCTGTGGTAGCCAGGGCTGTCATTGAATTTTAATTCACCTGTAGCCTTGATCTTCACACCCGCAGCAAACTTGTTACTTTATTGATGTGTGAATTGTATTAATTATAGGCCAGTTCACCCGTAACATCAAGGGTCCATCAAACAGACTCAGCCGTAACAGGTGTTACTGGTTACGGCCCTTATTGACAGCCCTGGGTCGGTAGCCATGGTGTGGTCTAAAGGATGCCTCTCAGATAAATGACAACTATTTCAAAGTGTTCAGGGTTTTGTTGAATCACTAGTAAGGGCACCAGACCTGAGATGAAGAGTTTTATAGATTTAAGTCCTGTTTAATATCTAACCGATTTTCCAAAAACATGCCCGCTATTTTGGTGCAAAGTCTTCAACACGGTTTTCATAAATTCAGACATATATTGGCACAGAATGTCCTAAACTGCGCAGGGAATTCCCTAGTTTGACTCTAAATGCTTTAGAAAGATCAACAGAAATTAGACACGCTCGTTTTTCGACCATTCTGGGTCATGCAGTTGAAATATATGTCTGGATTTATGAAAACGGTGTTAAAGACTGAATCAAGTGTTTTTGATTTATCTGTTTTTTTCATTTTTTTTTCCCACTTTCGCTATGACAGCAGCTTGTAAATCTTACCTAGCGTGAAATGTAGAAACTCCTTGCCGCATGTTTAATTTAGGTATTTTTTTCATTATTTATCGACCACCCCCTCCAACCCCTTTTCAATTTGCATTAAGTTTAGCCTAGGCTACACTCGTCTGAATTCAGTTCACGCTGTGACTCTGACAAGGAGCGACCGATTAGCATTCTGTATTTGCTGTCTAAAGGAAGTCTGCCCGAGGACATCATTAAGTCCAATGAAGGCCCACTTCTAATGATTTGCTAGTAAGCGTCATCCATTATCGTACGTGAGGCAGGCCTGAGGAGATGTGTAAACTGTTCAGGTCACATTTAGTCCCGTAACAGTAGGCCGTTTGCCCTGTGGTGATAATGTTGTGCTTGCTATAGACAGCAAAAATCTTTAGCCACATCAATTTAGGACTTAGACGTGCAATGGACTAGACATTTCTAGCTGCTGTTGGCGTCATTTGCTCTGAACTTTGATGTAGCTAAAGAAAAAAAATCTGTTGAAATCTGGATGTGCCATTCTGCACTCGACAAAATTGAAGTACATCCGGGACATTGCTATTTGCGAGCAAAACATGGCCACGAGCAGAGAGAAGAACATGAGTTCAAGTGCTGATCATGAGTAGAATTTCCTTGTTTTATCAATTTTAGGCGTTCTCAGCGTAGCTAACTAGCAGAACTGTCTGTGATTCGCTAGCCTGGAAGAAATTTATTTGTGTGGCTTCCGGCGATAATTGACGTAA